CCTCAAATATACAAAAAAATTAATTTAAAAAATTACTGGAAGATTCTGACTTTCTATTGGTGGTCCATTTTATATTTATTAATCATGCCTCTGACTCTGCATCTTAAATGCATTTACTAAATTGTTACCACTATCTTTGTGTTTTCAGGTGAAGTGCAAGGATGCCAATTGGCATATGATGATACAAGGCTAGAAAGAAGTCCATAGTGCATGGCGGGGGGTAGGGGTGGTGGTTCAGAGGATGATTCTATTTGGACTGGGGATCTGCTGTGTGTTTTATAATAATCCTGGGTGACTGCATTCATTTTAATCCATTAAGTACCAAATTTTCAATTCTGTGACTGTCAACACAACGAAATTAACAGAGGTACATTAATTGGTTGGAAATCTTAATCTAGGGCATACACACACACACAAACACACACATTTAAATATATTTTCACATATATGGGAATGTATATTACCAAATATTCTAATCATTCACCTATTACCTTTCTAAAAACATTTATTTCAAAAGTAATCATAATTTTTATATTCATTGCTAAATTTAAATTTTTAGAGGGGCCCAGGCCTGGACCCTTGGACTCAACAGCTTAATGTTGTTTGGGGCAATCTAGGGAACTGAGTTTCAGTCTTGGAGCTCGGGTATTGGATATTTTCTCTGCACTTCCTCCTCTACTCTGTCCTTTTCTTATCACTATGATGATGACATGGCTGAACCACTGGCTTTCCAGCTTCTACTTGGCCTTAGCCAATGAGAAGGAGGGAGGACAAGCTGCTCATTCTCTTGCTTGTTTCTCTCTATGGGCTTCCTCCATCGTGCCCTTGGATGGATGATCACAATTCCTCTCACCTGACATTCTTCTTTCTGGTCAGTTTTCACTCCTTCCCCTCCTCTCTGAGTCCCCAGTGCCTAGTTTCAATGACACTAGCCTGAGGATTGCAGAATTCTTGTGGTTTCTCTATGTAGTTGTAAATAGTCCTTTTACTTAATATTTCTTGAATTATCCTAGTTTGAGTGTTGTCTTTCCTGCTGGAACCCTGACTGGTATAGACTCTATGAAAATTTATCATTAGTTAAGCACTATATTATGAAAATAATTTGAATTCTAAGGTGACTAGATAAAGTATGCATTTTTACAGTTAAGTGTGTGCAGTTTTGACTTAATTTTAATTTAATTTTTTTGTGGTCCTGGGGATTGAACTCAGAGGGCACTCTATCACTTAGTCACATCACAATCCTTTTTATTTTGAAATAGGGTCTTCTTAAGTTGTCCATACTGGATTTCAACTTGCAATCTTCTTGCCTCATCCTCCGGAGTCACTGAGCAGTGCACCATTGCACCTGGTACAGTGTTGATTTTCACTCACTCTGATTCTTATCAACCATGTGACCTCAGACAGTTAAGCACAGCCTTGAGACAGATAGGCATTGCATTTTCAATTCTGGGCAGAGATTCCTTACCTACTTTATTCCTAAATTATCCCTAGTGTATAATGTAATTGAACACACTTTGGGACACATAAAAAAACCCTCTCTCCTTCTACTTTAGCTGGTTAACAGAGAACCCAGGAGTCTTTTCAGGGAGGGACACAGATTTCTGGTGTCCAACAATTTCGGCCAATTCTGCTGCATGACAGTTGAGTCTGAGAAAAGCTCAGATTAATGGGAATTTAACTTAAGGGATCCACTTGCCCTTTCCTGTTGTAAATTAAGCTATGGCAGAATTGTACAACCTGGATTCTACTGACAGATGCTGAAGTTCTTAAGGGTGAGAATTTTAGTTGATATTAGAACTCTTACTATGTCACTGGTGTCTGAAAACTAGGAATGTCTAATTAGAGCTTGTTGATAAAAAGTGTAGAATGTGATAGGTCTAGGGAGCCCAGGAAGCCATTTCTTCATTCCTCTGCCTTGTGGTGTGCTTACAGTGAAGTCACAGATACCTCTTCAGTGGGAGCGAGGAGGGATTTCTAAAGTTCATTATGCATTTTAAATCTTTGTCATGGAATGCTATGTAATTGTAGATTAGGTTATTTTTAATGGGACATAAATAAGATAAAAGGCCAAATCCCTATCATAACCCTTTTGAATATGAAGTTATCCCAACCTTCTCTAGTTTCTTCCTCCTTGTGTTTTGGGACCACATTATACTATTTTTTTTTTCAAAATTTCACCAGACTCAAACCCAAGAGACTTAAAAATGATGAAATAGACTAAAGCCATTTTAATTTGTATTCACCTGGATTAAAGACAGTGTTTCCTAGAACTATTTTGTCTTAGAGTTGAGCACATTCAAGAATCAAAATGACTCAGAAGCTAGTCACTGGGTTGCCTCCTTGAAGGCACCGTATTTCCCCTTAGTTGTGTTAGGGGAGACAGATGAAGGGAAGGGATTCAGTGAAGATAAATCTTTTAATCCAGCCCAGGATTAGGGGTTTTAGAAAGTAATCCAGAGAACTGGTGGCATCAAGCCATGTGTGCAGGCAACGGGGATTGCATTTGAGAGTCAGGGGCCCATTTGTTCAATTTCCCACAAAGGAGAAAGGAAAAAGCTGGGTATAAAGAGAATGAAGTGTGTTTTATTCTGCAGATGTATATCAACCAATCCTTTGAGTAAACAAAAATAGGAAAGAGCAGAAGAAAAATAGGTAAGACTTTCCTGTTTATCAACTGAGCTAAATCAGGAGCTTTGAGCTGAACAGATCTTTGTTTCTGAGTGAAAAGATAAAGAAAACTCAGGTTGTGATATTCTGGACCCTGGTTGAGTCAAGGGCTTGAAAAGGCTCTGGATAGGTGTGGCACATATCAGTTCCAAAGCAGCAGAGTACATTTTGGGTGGGTTCCTAGTGGTGGATCCAGAAGCCTGTGGGTGAGAATTTGTCTTGGCAGTCCCAGGACCTCAGGTAGCTGGTGCAGAGTTCTCTCACTAAAAAAGCTGAATTGCTGTCTGTGTCTATACTGAGGTGGAAAGCAGTGTGTTTTATTAGCCACAAGCTCTGGATTTACATTGGCTTTGAGTAGGATTCTGGGTAGGAAATAAAACCCTAAGGATCTAGGTGTCTGCTAAAACTTAGGCTTTTGCTCTGTAAAGAAGAGGAGAATTTTTTTTTTTTTGAGGGGAGAGATGTTCTTAAACAGCAAGGCTAAAGAAAGAAAAGGAAGAGAAAGAGAAAGGGAAAGAGAAGGGTTAGCAAAATAGAATACATTGAGATTGGAGTCTACAAGGCTGGGACAGTTAATAGACACTTTAGGAAAGATGATGCCCAAATCAAGAATTATGTAAGAAACAAATTGTACATCTAGGGAGTGTAAATCCTTTGTAGGTATGAATATTTACACTTGCATATTTATTATGACATTTATCCACCAGATGTCAGCAAAGTGTCTCATTCTAACAAGATAAGTATATGACAATTTTCCAACAGATACAAGTATCTTGAGGAAGGAGTGTTTTTTTTTTTTTTAAATCTGCACAAAGGAGCAGTATGAACTTGCAGAGCTATGACATTTGGCCTTCTTTCACTTATTATTTAAAATACTTTACATTTATAATGAAGGAAGGAAATAAAGGAGGAGAAAGGAAGGAAGGCAGGCAAAACACTCCCAAGTTCCTTACCTTTTGTGAGCCATCATACCCCAAATCTACAGTAGAACACAACTTTTATTGCACTCAAACGAGTCAATCTATTATAACAGCTTTGTCTATTGTTCACTTACAACATATACCGTGGTTAACTTTGGGTATTTATGCTATGTGTTCTGTAATTACCTATGTTCATGGTTGTATCCTAGAAGCCTATAAACCTCATTTAAAGTCAATAATCTATATTTTTGTTTAAATTATGCATACATATATCTAAAAGTTAAATATTGCTCTTAGACTTAAAATGAAAAACAGCAGTCACCTACCCCACCCTGCCCTGTTCTCTCATCTCCATTCCTTGGATAGCACTTTCAACTCACTTACCTGTTATTTTCCTGCTGTTTGTCTGTCTGCCTATTGACCTCTCTTTCTTTCTGTCTATCTATCCATCCATCCATCTCATTGTTGTCATCATCATCATTATCATCACATCATGCCATCATCATCTCCATATTTCTAATAATTTGTTTCAATATCTATTTCTGATTTGTCAATTTCAGATTATTCGTCATCTCCCTATTTAAGTGATTGAGAATATTAGCCAGGATAAGTAATGCTAGCTGATCTAATAAACAACTTCCCTATTGTGACAGCTTATCACAATAAGAGTTTATTTCTTTCTCCACACAGGTCACTGGAGAAGGTTGCCAAGCAAGAGTTTCTCCTTCACACATTCAGAGTTTCATCTCCTTCCATGTTTTGACACCACCATCTTAAAATGCACCCTCTAAGTCTTGCCTGGAAGAGGAAAAGAGAATAGAAAATAAAATGCGGATGTCATAGACCAGGCCAAAAAATGGCGCATTGTCCCTTCTTCTACATTTTTTTTTTAGAATGTAATCACTAGAGACTGAGGAGGTGAGACATGTACTTTTCCTGTGTGCCCAAAGAGGAAAACAAAGTTTGGTGTATGTTATGGTTTAGGTGTGAGGTATTCCCCAAAGGCTCATGTGTGAGACAATGCAAGAAGGTTCAGAGGAGCAATGATTGGGTTATGACAGCCTTCTCACAATCAGAGTATTAATCCCCTGGTGGGATTAACTGAGCAGTAAGGAAGGCAGGTAGAATGTGCCTAGAAGAAGTGGGTCATTGGGAACGTGGCTTTGGGGCATATATTTTGTATCAGGCAAGTGGAGTCTTTCTCTGCTTTCTAATCATCATATGAGCTGCTTCCCTCCACCATTCTCTTTTTCTGTGATGTTCTGCCTCATCTCATGCCTCGAGGAATGGAGCTGGCTGCCTATGGACTGAGACCTCTGAAACCCTGGGCCCCCAAATAAACTTTTCCTCCTCTATAATACGTTTGTTTTGTCAGGTCTTTTGGTCACTAACACAGTGTGCATGGAACAAATATTTTATCTGCTAGCAGGAGTTCATAACTCCATCTGTCCCCTTTCTATTTTGTCCTCTAATAACCTACCGAGTTTTAGGTTAAACCAATATTTAGTGTTTACCTCTAAATGATATTGTTTGCTGCTGATCCATTGCTTGTACACTGAATTCTAGTTTTGATAATTTGTTTTTGTATTTTATTTTTTAACCTATCTAAAATTCTTGTTTTTCAGTACTCGGGATTAAACCCAGGTTTTTGTGCTTGCTAGGCAAGTACTCTAGCATTGAGCTACATCCCCAATTTGAGCGAGTCTTGACGAAGGTGAATCTGAGCAACACTCAAAGGAGGAGTGTATGTGTTCCCGTCACTGGTTCTGGTCAATGGTCACTCAGCTATCTTGTCGTGGAGGGTAGAGATGCGGAATCAAAACACAGACTCCAGGAGCTGGTGAGAGAACTGGCTGGAGACCCACCTCAAGTTGGCATCCAGTAACTCAGTTTATTTTTGGAATGCACATAACTGTTATAGGGTTCAAGTAGGGCATGCCCCGTCGATCATACATAAGCAAGACAATATCCATAAGCCAATCATCTTGTCTAATGTAACCTTAGCACTGTGAGAAAACTCTAAATATTTTGGTCGTGGTGGAAAGCAATCTGGAAGGGTCTTTGGCCTTTACTGAGTCAGGGGTTTCATGTCCTGAAGCCCCTGACTCTCAGTTTCCTGGCCGGGTAGTTTTTGGCAACAGTAACCACAAGTGTTGAGTATGTGGTTTCACCCCATCCTGTAGGCCTGAATGAATGTGGATATTTCAAGCACTTCCAAGCTGCTCATAGCTGCTAGCTGGGACTGAAAGTTATTCCAACAGAGGAGAGTGAGAGCAATCCTTGATAGTACTGGACCAAAGGGATGTTTATTTAGAAGGAATAGCCAGTGCAAAGGCCCTGAGGTGGAGGCAGCCTATTGAGGCATAGTGAAGAGGTCTGTGGGGATGGAGAGCAGTGGAGGAGGGAAGAAAAACAGAGGATGGGTTCAATGGAGGGGAAGCAGGTGGTATGAGGTCCTGCAGGCCATAGTAAGAACTTGAGCTTTTGATTAGAGAGTTCCTGAGCTCAGGGTGACAGAATGGGACTAAGGATTTGACAGGATGCCATTGGCTGCTGCCTACAGCAGGAATTGAAGCAGAGAGAGTAGTTAGGAAGGTAGGACAAGAATCCAGATAGGAGATGGTGTGACTTGATGGAAAAGTGGCATGGTGAGAGGTGGCTCCATGTACATGGTAGAGGCAAAACCAATTATTCTGGAGTTTCCAGAATAATTGGTTGTGAGTATAAGAGAAAGAGAGAATTTGAGGATGACCTCAAAGTTTTTGACCTCAGCAACTGGAAGGATGAAGTTGTCACCAGTGAGATGGGAAGGGAGTGGAGGAAAAAGTTTTGTGGGAAGATCAGGAGTTCAGGTAGGGATGTGTTAAGTTCCCAATGTCTGTTTGACACCTGAGTGATGCTGTCAAGAGAAGCAGTTGGATGTGAATTTGGAGTTCTGGATAGAGGACTAGGGTGGAGAGATAAAGGCAGAAGTTTTGAACATAGGGATGGCATTTGAGGCACAGGACTGGATGAGAGCCCCAAGGTTGAGTGTGTAGATAGAGGGGCAAAGACACGCAGGACTGAGGTCTGGGGAGGAGGAGAAACCTGCTAAGGAGACACACAGTTAGTGTTGACCTCTAAATGACTATCAAGATATTGTTTGCTGCTGAGCCATTGCTTGAACATTAATCCCCTCACAGTGCCTTGTTGGAGAAGCAGAAAGGCACACGTGCATCCAGCGGAGGGAGCCATAGGATACATTGTGTCAAGTAAGGCAAGACAGAGGTTGACTATAGGATTTAGCTCATGGATGCTGTTGGTAACCATGCTAAGATTGTGGGGTGAAAAACTTGCTTAGAGAAAGCTTGAAAGAGAGGGGTATGAAAGAAATAGCAACAACAGGGTAAAAGATGGTTTTGCAGAGGAGATTTTTTTTTTCCTGATTTCTTCAGATTTTTCATGGAGGGTCAGGATGAAGGTAAGTGGAAAAGGGCACATTTAAACTTGCTGTATCTCTTCTTTTTGAAAAAAAAAAATCTTTTATAGTAATTTTGGAGGAATTCCAGGAAGGAGCACAGATGTTCAACCTGCCCTTCCTTCTTCCCTTTTTCCATTCTTTCCTCCATAGAACTGGGAGTCAAACCCAGGGCTTCCTTCGCATATGCTAGGCAAGCGCCTATCTCTGAGCTACAACCCCTAGCCCAACAACTTTCCACATTTGACTGGAAGTCCAATTATCAACCTCTTACAATTTCCGTCCTGCTCTCCATTGCAGAGCCTGAACAAGTAGATGCTTTATTATTTGCTCAGCAGTAGTGAATTTTCTCTGTGGCATGGTCAGTTTTTCTGAGACTGCTTATTTGTTTCTTTCATAGCACCTTCAGAAAATTGAGAAGGCTCAAGTTTAGCATGTTGAAGACAAGGCTGTATCCTTTCTTGTGAAAAGTTTTTTTTTGCTTGAGGATTGGCCATGTTGGCAGAATGTGCCCTGTTGACCCATATCTTTGCAGGACCCAGAGGGAGGTGAAGGAATTAGGTAAGCAGTGGTTTCCATGGTTTCAGGGGTGTGTCCAACAGTGTCCCCTGCAGGTCAGAACCTGGCCACTGGGCTCTGTAGTTTTCTGCGGCAGATGAAAGTGATGTACCTCATTGAGGCATTGAGCAGCAGCGCTGAATAAGTGTTCTCTCAGATGACCTGATTGAAGTGGACTGAAGTGTCACTCACATGGCTGCTTTTGAATTTAGACTGAAAGCCCTTACCTGACCGTCTAACAGATTCAGAGGGCATAAGAAGCTGGTTTTTACTGTAAAAGAGAATGAACCTCCACTTGGTGAGCTTGTGAGATTTACTTAACACAAGAAACTGTATTGAGGCTTGTTTAAACCCAACAGCTCCTCTTCCAGCATTGTTACCCCCATTTTACGATAAAGTCAGTGAGGCACAGAAAAGCCTAGTGGCTTGCCAGGGTTAGACTGTTGGAAGAGAGAAGCAGGATTTACACTGAGGTACACTGGTTCTAGAGATGAAGCTTCTAATCTCTGTGCTGCTAACTCTGAGTCTTTATTTTTACATCTGTCAGATGGGAACATAAGCCTGTATCACACAGGATCACAGGGTTAAATGAGATAAAGTAAATAAAGCACACGGTGTACCACAAGACCTCCACAAGAGGTATTTTTCAGCTTTCATACAGATAGGAGGCAAAGAAAAAATCCACTTTATGGTCAAATACATCTGGGAAATTCTAGGCTAGACAAAGTATCTTCCCTGTAGGATTTCTAAGAGCCTTTGGTTGTTAAATATATTGTCAATCTTCAATAAGTGAGTGTAATATTTCTTAAGCTTGCTTCATCACAGAAGTACTTTGTCATAGGGTGTTTCCCACATTTCTAGAAATACTGGAATAATGTAAAACATAAAATTTTGTGCAAATGATGGTACATCATAAACATTAGTTATTCAGCCATTCATGTAAGATTTAAAGAACTAACTAAACTTTCTCTTAACTAGAGGACTTTCCCCCAGAATTTCTGCCTACCAGCTACGGTAGGGAAAGACATTATTTTAAATTAATGGCACAATTCTTCCTGAGCATTCCTCTTTGCTCATAATCATGTCTCAGTTCAAGTGTCCTTACTGTAAAATATAAGACTCACATACTAGCATAGCTCATCTCATCATATGTTTTCATTACAAAATTGCTTTCATTTGTCTCCTATCTTAGATACTTACAGTGAGAAAAACTTGCCTCTATAGAAAATATGAATAGACACAAGTAAAGACTCCAAAAGTGTCAGGATAGGTATTATGAAGATAGTGTTTTTTTTTTAAGAGATAGGGAGCCTATCAGATAACTGGGTGATTAATTATGTCTCAAAGTGTACCCAGTTTAATTATCCAATATTATTAGACGAGGAATATGGTCTGTCCTGCTTTCTTATAAGGTTGTCAGAAGAAGCATTCAGTGACAAGTATGGTCAGACATCCACGTCTAGGGGTTTTGCATCTGCAGTTTCAACTAACCATGGCTCAAAAATGGTTGAAAAAAATTGCATCTGCACTGGACACATATACTTTTTCTTGTGTCATTATTCCCTAAATAGTGTAGTTAAACAACTACTTTTGTAGCATTTTCTTTGTATCAGGTGTTCTAAATAATTTAGAGATGAGTTAAAGTATGTGGGAGGAGTCAGGTGCAGTGGCATGTGCCTGTACTGGAGGCTAAGGCAGGAGGACTCCTTGGGTTCAGGAGTTCAAGACCAGCCTGTGCAACACAGTGAGACCATATTTCAAAACACACACACACACACACACACACACACACACACACACACACACACACGGTATTCAGGAGATGTGATAGGTAATATTTACATATTTCACATGTTATAAAATGGACTGTAGCATCATGGGTTTTTGGTATTCTCAGATGAGCCCTGGAACCAATACCCTGTGGATACTGAGGGATGGATACTGTGCTGATGAGCTGCTTTCGAGAACGATTTCCAGCACTGCTTTGTACTACCTCTGGGTTCTCAACAGAAAAGTTACGAGTTAAAACTGTAGACATCAACTTGTTGAACTAAACCCTGTTCACAAGATGATTTATTTTGGGTCTAAAGTGCTACTTTAAACTTTGAATCTTTAACCAATTATATTTTTATGTGTGGTCTTATATATATGTTAGTATGGAAGTACAACATTAATCTGTAAAAAATGAATATTTGTGCAATTAAAATAATTGGGCAACTTTTCGGTCCAACTTTTATGACTTTGCCCATTTGTGTGAAATTTCATAACTTGAGTTTTTTTCCTTTTTCTTTTTCTCTTGGTGTGGTGCTGGGGACAGAATCTTCATGCACACCAGGCAACCACTCTATCACTGAGCTATATCCCCAGCCCTAACTTGAGAGTTTTTAATGCACAAATGTTTTATATAAAAGTTTTTTAATGACTTGATTGCATTTTGGATGTAGATTGTTTTAAATCCAAGTTGCCCTCCCGTGTGTAGGTAGGTTTCTCAGCCCTGCCACTAAATGTCCCCAGATTGTTACAATGCTTGGTGTTATTCTTTTTTCTCTCTTTTCCTTCACTCTTACATGACCTGTTTTTCTTTTTTCTTTTAAAAGTTTTCTGAGTTGTAGGTGGACACAATACCTTTATTTTATTTATGTGGTGCTGAGGATCAAACCCCGGGCCTCACACATGCGAGACAAGAGCTTTACTGCCGAGCCCCAGCCCCAGCCCCCATGACCTGTTTTTCTCTTGGATTGCTTTGTTCTGCCTGTCTCCATGGGTACTTTTAATTTATTTTGGGGAAGGAAACTAGAGAGCAGGTGTAAGAGGACAGCTCTGAAACACACTCTTAGGACTCCTAGTGGTGCTCACAGTGGTGAGCACCAGGACTCTGGGGCAGGGCCTCAGGCACCAACTCAGAGTCTTATGCCTTCTGAGCTTCTTTTTAAAATTAAATTTTTGCCCTCTGGATAATTAACAGCAATAATCACAAACAAAATAAAACAGTGCTTTCTAAGAATTACAAAAGACAAACATGCCCACTTTAGAGAATTTGGAAAACACAGAAGGTACAAAAAAGCTCATTTAAAAAATTACAATTCCAGAGCTCAATATAACCCCTGTAAACATTTGTGTGTTTCACTGCATGTATTTCATTTATTTATTTTATGTATATTTTATAAAATTTGGTTTATACTGCATTTAGGATTTAAACTTTTCATTTAACAGTGTTAGTAAACATCTCCTCTGTCATGACATTTTCTTCATTTTTGTGGCTACATTCATCACATGGATGTGCCCTAATTTATCTAACTATACCCATGTTGGAACTGTATGATACCTTACTAAAGACTATGAAGAAGAACCTGATAAATAAATATTTGTCCTCATCTCTAATCATTTTTAGAATCAATTCTCAGAAATGAAAAAAAAAACTGGGTACAAGATATGAAATGCAGTGAGCATTCTTGCAGCTAAATTGTGCACAGCCCTAAATATTTCCGCACACAAATTCTATGAAGTGGAATTGCAGTTCAAAGAATATTCATGTATTTTTATATACATGTGCTTTTATTTTTTTCTCATCTTAAGAACTACTTTATTTTTTTAGAGCAGTTTTAGGTTCATAGAAAAATTGAAAGGAAGGTATAAAAATTTTCTAGGTCGTCTCTATTCCCATGCATGGGTAACCTTCCACACCGTCTGCATCCCCCACAAGGCTGGTACCTTGATTGCAACTGATGAACTTGCATTGACACATTGTATTAGGGTTCTCTAGAAGAACAGAATCAAGAGGAAGTATAATTATAAAAGGGGAACTTATTAGATTGGCTTACATGACCAGAAGCTGGATAGTCCATAATCGCCGTCTGCACGCTAGAGAGCTGGGAGAACCAGTAGCTGCACAGTACAAGAGACTGAAGCCCCAGAACAAGAGGGATCAACAGTGCTACCCTAGTTCAAGACCAAAGGTTTCTGGAGTATCTGCTTTGGAAGAGTGAAGAAGTGAGAGTCTGATATCCTCAGATGATCGCAACACCAATCAAGAACCTGTTCAAGAAGAATTGAGCTTGCATCTGCAGCAGCTTCCTTGTTCTTCCAACTTTTATTCCATCTAAGCCACCATCCTATTGGTTGATGCTACCCACACTTAGGGAGGGTCTCTATTTCAGTTGGCTATCCCACATGCCAATCATTCCGACATACACCCTCACAGACACACTCATAATCCTTGGCATCTCTTAATCTAATCAAGTTGACAACACAAATTAACCATTACATACACTATAATAACTCAAAGTCCATAGTCTGCATTAGGATCTGTTCTGTGTTTTCAAAACAGGAATAGATCCCTCTGTAGTTTTCTTCTGATTTCAAAAGAAAGCATAGAGACAGGAAACTTCAAAGAAGGTAGGAAAAGTCTCCTGTCTTTCTCTAATCACTATTTACAGTTTGGATTGTGCCTACATACACAGCTGTGTACATAAATGTGAGAGGGTTTGCACACCCACACAGTTACAAAAATGGGGCCCATACTATACAAACTGTATTGTGCACTGATATTTAAAACAAACTTTAATTAAAGCATGGCACACTTAGAGAAATGTGCGCAAAACCTAAGTGTGCAGCTAGATGATTTTCCACAAAATAAATTCACAGATTAAGATATGAGAAAGAAACACGGAACACTTGATAAGGTTGCATGTTATCTTTATTGAAGGGCCACGGGGATGTCCTCTGTCTCAGTACAGTTTTAGTACATGTATCCACGAAAGGACCACTTAAAATCTGTCAGGGATATCTTTCTATTTTAATCAAGAGATTATATTTCATTGACTCTGAAACTTCATTTGTTGTTCCTGTCTCATTATTTTTGTACTGCTAAGGAAGAAAGGGAGGGAGGGAGGGAGGAAGTAAGGAAGGAAGACAAGGAAAGAAAAAAAGCAGCTGTCAGTTACATTACCGCCCAACGC